GAGGAGGAGGAGGAGGAGGAGGAGAAGGAGGAGGAGAAGGAGGAGGAGAAGGAGGAAGGGGAGGAAGAGGAGGAAGTCCATGAGGGCGAAACGTTATACCTATTTCCTGATATTGTAAAACTTGAAATACTTAGTCTCCATTAACTTTTTGTTTCCTATCGTACTGGATTTGTTGTTGTTGTTGTTGTTGTTGTTCGAGGGAGAGTTATGCTCTTTTTCGTCTCCATTGTCACTACACTCAGAGGCACTTCCACTCGTCCAAATAACTCCATTAGAGTTGTCATGGTGTCAGCTGCAGAGCTTACCCTGATGATGATGATGATGATGATGATGATGATGATGATGATGATGATGATGATGATGATGATGATGATGATGATGATGATGATGATGATGCCGCTCTGATTTCATCAGATTCATAAAAACATGTCTATGTTTTGCAGACGATAAATTTGTGGTACCGGAGAGTTGTCAAAAATGTATTAGAATTGGTCTCCTATTCCTAACCAAGTACATTCCTTTCATTCGCCATTCGTCTCCTAGCCGGAAAAGTGACGTACGACAATCTGAAGGGACATTTATGGAGAACGATCTTTTGATAACAAAATGTCCAAGGGACTAAAAAAAAATGATTAATTCTGCTACTCATGCATGTGTATGTCAAATAAATTGATTTATTTTTTGTCCTCAAAGTACATCATAACTGTTCTGAAAACGAGTTAAGTACTGGAAGAAAGATTTCAGCCTCATGCAGTGATTTCTCTTTTTATAGCGCATTTTCATCAAAATCAATAGCTGGTAAAGGTAAAATTCAACCCCCACCCCCTCACTTTCTCAAAATTAGTTGAAAGCGTCTTGCATCTTTCATGCATGACGCAACTGCGACCTAAATGTGGGCCCACCGAGAGTGGAGGGAAAGAGCGAAAGAAAGAGAAAGAGGAAGAAAAGGAGAGGAGGAAGAAATAGAGAGGATGAGAGAGAGAGAGAAAGAGAGAGTGTGTGTGTGTGTGTGTGTGTGTGTGTGTG